GTGTGTGTGTGTGTGTGTGTGTGTGGTGTGTGGTGGGGGGTAGCAGACGGCAACAACTGTATACTCTTTGATCTGGCACGTTTGATGTGGATTAATTTGGTCTGAAATCACAGTCCTATTTTCCCCTGGTGTTGAACTGAGACCCACCCCCTTCACCACCCAGACACAGAGCACCCCACCCCCCACTGTCCACCATCCAATTCGTATGAACACTCTGTAAAGCTCACGCAGTGTGGATGGGAGATAACATGACTCCCTCCTCCACCCGCACAGCCCTGCTCTTTATTAGCATATTTCTAACATTTCCATCCAGTAAATCAAGCTGGTGGTGAGTGGCCMTGTGATGACAGAGTCTAACCACCCCCTTAACTTTCACAAATACATAATCATAGTTTGTCCTTTAGTGAGGTAATGAGTGAATGTACTTTAAAAACATGGATCAAACCAAATTGATCCTCACTATGAAGCAATGTATTTCACATACAGTGTGTATATTGTATATTTATCACTTCTTTATTTGTATGTTTTGTTCATACTTCTAAATTAAAGGGTTCTATTCAAACTTAACAAATTAAATAAATTAGAGTTTAAGTTAAAACATGAGGTGAAGAGCTTCACTTCAAACTGTAGCCGTGTTTGCATCCAATTTTAATTCGAATTTTGAGCAAATTTTTWAAATTTCGCAAAAATGAAGAAATGCGAATCAGACGTGTTTCCATCAACTGGCTTGAAGCAAATTAATTAAATCAGACACATCCGTGTAGTAAACAGGAAGTAAAAGTWGCATCTCAGGAAAATGGAGAGAAGTTATCAGGAACGTGTTGCTACTATAGGGAAAGTTGTAATTATTCTGTCATATCAACTAGTTTTGGCGATGTTACATGCTGTTTGGAGACATAGAGAAAGAAATGCAATTCTCTTCACGTTACGGGATTAACTGAGAAGAAGCCAACAGTGGSAGGAGGGTCCAGCTGCAGTTGCGGCTTCAGTCGCTCTTGCACYATTCAGACAGCGAGAACAGCTGATCAACCATGTGAGGTAAACATTCACTACGTCAGAACTTATTCAACAAATGTGTTTCCATATATCCTTTTGTGCATTAACTCTTTTTTGGGAAAAAAAACGAAAACCACCTCAAGCGAGCGTATCAGCTTTTTTGCGAATTAGAGGAAGTTTTTTTGACTCATGCCATTTCCATTCACCTTTTCTGATGCGATACTTCAAAATGCGCATTGAAAATCATTGATGGAAACATGGCTTGCGTGACAGAGGATAACTTGCTTTTAGAGTAGAAAACAACAAACATCCCCAGGAGGCGCTCCGTCATCCATCTGAATCAGTTACAGCATGATTAGATGATGCGTGTGAACTATAACCTTTGCTTTAAATAAAATATCTAATCTTCTCATGAGATTAAGCTTATGATGACCTTATGAAATCAAGAATAAAAGGGACATTTTGACTTTTGTCTGAGAACTTCTTAAGATCATCAATAGAAATAAGGGTATATTATTTTGATAACTGCTATTTATACACCTCTGAAGAATGTAGGACAACTCAGCTGAGAATATAAAACAAGACATAATCACAAAACCATAAAACTTCATGTTCATGTACAGGAACCCATGAAAGGTTTTCTTTTTTTGTGTGCCAATCAGCATATATTTCAAAGCAGTATATTTAACCCAGAACTAGTTTACTTGAGCCCAACAACTTGCATGTTTTTTTTTTTGTTTTGTTTTTTTGCTGAGCAACAGGACTCAGTATGTGGTTATCTAGAATTAAAAGAAAAATGTACAATCACCACAGGAAAAAAAAACAACCTTTGTGCATGTTAGGAAGGTTTTCTAAAATTAAACACTTTTTAAATGTCAAACCATAAGCAAATAATTTGCAGCAACAAAAACACCAAAAAAAAAACTACTTTCAAAGAAAACATTTTAAAATCCATCTATATAGAACTTATACTTCTTCTTTTTCACAGTCAAATAATGCTCCACCATTTAGTTATTCTGACAGTTACTTTGACTCCTAGTAGGCCTCCTTCACACTGGACTCCAGCAACCATGGCATTTTAGAACATGGCTGATTCATTGCAAGTGAGAAGGAAATCCTGATGTTTCACTTTCAGTTCTTGTTAAATAGATTCTCYCTGTTCTTCTTCCCTGAAACACTTTCCTGCACCATCAACACTCATCTTGGCACGGCTATTTTGAAGGATGCAGCTGCAGGTATAATGTCTGTGCTTGTTTGTTTTCAGAAGCACAAGGTCATTGTAGCCGATCCTGCTATAAATTTTGATAACCAAACTATGCCAGTGTGTGTGTGTGCCCCATATTAGGAATGCACAGCCACAACAACGATCTGTGCCTGCCGGTCACATTCTGTCACAGTTTTTCATATTTCATACCTAAAGACTCGTCACCTAAAAATAAAAGATGCAAAAAAACAATGCATACATTTGTAGGATGAGCAGTAGAGCTGAGTATGTAAGTTGCACACCAAACATTATTTTGCTGTTGACACTTGTTTTGAGCTTCTGGTACTTCCCAGTGCTGCCAATCAGGTGTCTGGGATAATATGTATTACCAAACAGCATTTTTACAACAAAGAACTAATCTGCCAAACACAAATTCTCTTGCTTTTTGTGTTAAGTTTAGATTTAATGTTTGTGCTGTAAGTTTACTTTAAATCTGCATTCAGCTGTTACTCTTCATCAGACTTGACTCAAGGAATTCTCAGTTAACACACTGCATCTATTTATCAACAGTTTGCTTTTTGATGTCACAAGGGATTCATTTTTCAGAGATCTGAGAAAGAGGTTGCCTTGTGTTGGTTCACAAACTACCGTGTAAATTCTTTTTAAAATCAGTTCTGCCTTTGAAAAGGTTAAAAGGCTCAAAAACCCTGTGTTTGATTGTGTATTTGCCTTAACCCGACAGCAAAAAGACTGCAGCCAGTGCCCTCACATGATTGTAGGACTTAAAGTCTCACAGTTGCCAAAGGGCAAACACATTGGCAAGTGAGAGACTTTGAGAGGGAGACACTGACTGTGTGAAAAAGCTTTGGGATTGTCGACTATTACATCACCACTTC